TCTTCTCTGGTTGGTAACTTAAAGTGTTCTCTTTTAATTACTTTGTTTAAGTCTCTTGGGTCCAAGCACGTTCTCAGAGCACCTATTTTCTTCTGCAAAACAACTAGAGAGCTGACCCATTCAGTTGGTTCGTCTATTTTCTTGATGACCTCCAATTTTTCCATGCGCGCTAGTTCCTCTTTCAGCTTTCCACGTAACGCGAAAGGGATTTTTCTACAAGGATGCACAACAGGAGGCACGCTTTTATCCACACATATTTTGTGTTTTCCAGGTAGACATCCAAGTCCTTCAAAACAGTCTTTATACTCCTCCATGAGTGAGTCATGATCATTTGCCGTATCCGATGTCACGACAAACACTCTTTTGACCAGATTGAGCTTTGTACATGCCTTGAGTCCCAGGATTGGTTGTGCACTCGTATCCACGTATTATTGTCTGATTCACCTCGATTGGCACGATCCATTCCTCTTTTTCTGTTGCATGAGCACGCACCACATCTACAATGAACTCTTCATCCTCATCTTCTTCCTCACCAACTGCATGAACTTTCTGTTTAAAAGCTGATTTGCAACATCTTGCATAGTGATTGCTCTTTCCACAGTTGTTACAGGATTTACCATATGCAGGACATGATTTTGGCTTGTGACTGCCTCCACATTTACCACATTTGAATTCTGCAGACTTCTCTTTCTGTCCTTTTTGTTTGGTAAATGCTTTCTTTTTCATCTGTTCTTTATGGACTGCATGCACTGTGATTTCACCTCTCCGAAGCACTTTTGCTTGTGCTCGAGTGGATTCCGCTGCTCTGCACATAGTGACACACTTATCTAATGTAAGTCCAGTCTCTCTGAGCAATCTTTCTCTAAGTGCATTATCCACTGTGCCACAAACAATCCTGTCTCTCACTAGTGAATCTCTCAGGGTGCCAAATTCACATGTTTTGCTTAGAGTGTGAAGCTCTGCTAAGTACTGATCAAAAGGTATTCCTTGCTTTTGGTCATGGGTGAAAAACTTGTACCTCTCAAAAGTCACATTCTGACTAGGCACAAAGTACTCTTCAAACTTCGTCATTAGCTCTGCTAAAGTCAAATTAGCTTCATCCAGCTGAAAGCTGTTATAGATATCCAAAGCATCTTCTCCCATAACATGCAAAAGGATGTGAGCTTTCAATTTTTCATCTTCACCCCCTGCTCCGCTTGCTGCTAAATATATATTAAATCTTTGTTTAAACCGCTTCCAATTATCAGCAAGATTACCAGTCAGTTGCATGGAAGTGGGTGGACTTAGCCTCTCCAAATCAATTCAGCCAAGGTCCTGCCTTCCTTCTGCTACCACGTGTCAGTTGCCCAGCCACAACTTCTTTCGTGGCTGGCCAACTGACACGTGGTAGCAGAAGGAAGGCAGGACCTTGGCTGAATTGATTTGGCTTGGCTAGGTTGGATAGTGTCATCCCTCTGGTGATAGCATCTGCAGGGTTATTCTGTCTGTCCACATACCTCCATGACCGGTGATCCGACAGTTCCTAAATCTCAGATACACGAGTCCCTACAAACACCTCGTATCTGCAGAACTCTGACTGTATCCAGGTAAGTACTGTGGTGGAGTCAGACCACAGCACTGTGTCCCTCAACTGAAGGGTGAGCTCTCTCTGGATCATCAGGGCAAGCTGAGCTCCGGTAAGGGCGGCACAGAGCTCAAGGCGTGGCATTGACTGTTGTTTCTTCGGTGCCACTCTTGAGCATGCCAGCACAAAGGCTACATGGACTTGGCCATGAGGATCCTCTCCACGTAGGTAAGCAACTGACCCATAGGCGGACTCTGATGCATCACAAAAGATGTGAAGCCCGAGGGTGATGGCACTTACATCCACGTCCATTGGGAAATAACTCCGGGAGAGACTGACCATTGGGAGCTGAGGGAGCTCTTCTTCCCATGTAGTCCAGGCTTGCAGGAGGTCGACCGGTAAGTTTGGCAGCGTGCTGAAGACGAAAGCAGGATGGTTCTCTCAGAGCCATCATCCAGCACTGCATACGTGTTGAGCACTTTATCCTGGTATTGCAAATTGACTCTGACAATCTTTAGCAGTACTTGGCAATATCCATTTGGCTGGTCCAGATAGTGAGTCTCTGCTGTTGACATGATGGTGGGCTCGTTCTCACTCCTCTGGTTGACTTTGTGAAGGACGGAGAGGTGTTTCGACTTACAAAGGCAACACGGCTTCTTAAGGTCACAGGCAGAGGCTAGGTGAGAACGTCCACATATCCAGCACCTCCTCTTGACTTTAATCCAATCCACCATCTCTGCTTTGGTAAGCTTAGCAAAGCTCTCACATTGGCTGAGATAGTGTTCTGCCTCGCAGTAAGGGCAGTATATCTTACTCTTCCCTTGGGTTCGAATAGAATGAGCTGCTTGGGAGGGCGTGTCAAATGGATGGTTACTGGAACTGGCTGTCCTATGCATAACAGTAGTGATCTTAACCTTGGACTTCTGCTCCTTTAATTCTCTCTTGTCCTTCTCACTGTGAGCTTGAAGTGAGGGCTCAATGTCCAGGCATCTGACTTCTGCCTTCAGCCACACTGAAGTTAATGCTCACTGACTTTTCAGAGTGGCTGAAGGCAGAAGTCAGATGCCTCAAATCTGAAGCGCCTTCTAAGCAGGCTCCTCAGATTTGAGCCGCAGTGGAGTTCCTCATGGCCTTCACCTCGGAGAGCTTTCAACATCCCGATAAGCGACTGCACTCTGATGGAGAACTCGTCGAGAGCCCTATCATCTCAGATGGGAGGTAGGCGTTCCATGTCCTCTGTCTCCTTCAGCACAATGGGTTAGGGTTAGGACGTCCTGGATGGACGTTCATAGCGTTCATCCAGTGCTTTCAGAGTAGGGCATATTAGACTCTGCATGAGCTAGCATGAGGTGATGTGCATGTGGCACCTAGACATGCTTCAGCAAGATGGCATACTTGTAATGCTCGGACTGAGAAGGATGAAGAAGTGTGCTAAGGGAAAGGCGTAGCTCCACATATTGAGCTCTATCCTCCTTGGTGAAGTCAGGAAATGTTGGGCCTTCTATATTGGGAGGTGCATGCTGATACCCGGTGGAGGGATAATGGGCCAGCATGGCTGGGTTCCCATGGCTGGGTTCCCAGCACCGCTGGGTTCCCTTGGTAGAAGGGTTGGGGTACATAAGGAGGTATATTAGCCATGACTGGTGCACGGGTAGAGGCCTTATCTGATCGAGAACTGGATTTACATGTAGCGGTCTGGGAGGAGCCACATGTGGGAGATAGATATGAGGCTCAGGTGGCACCAGATGTGGATTTCCCATCTGAGGCTCCCTACCTTTCTCGTGTTGGCTGCCGGGTGCAGCTGCGTTGAGCTTACAGTTACCTGAAATGGGGTAGGACGAGAGTGAACTGTGGCATTTCTTAACAAGCCTACGGACTGCTGGAGGCCCTGGGGTGACCCTTTGGGATGGCTGGGCTGAAGGTGAGCTGGTGGATCATGTTCAGTATCCTGCTTGATAGCTTGAACGTCATAGCATGGATCGAGCGTGTGCCTAGGGGGCTGAATGACTCGGCTGAGAGGCGGAGGAGGTGTCATTTGTTCTAGCTGATGGGTAAGGTCTGCAGTTACGCTTGGGTGATCCTCAGTTCTGTGGTGGTGAGGAGCAAGGGCTGAGGAAGGCTGTGGTTCACCTCCTCTGTCTGGGTAGAGTTGGCGTACTGGGGTCTGATGCCGTGATGACCTCCTTGACCACTGAGCTGAGGTTTGAGGGGAATGGTGCTGCAGGAAAAACTCCAAAAGCTCTGTTTGTTTCTTGGCCGTTTCACTCTGTTGCCGCACTGTCTCCAAAGCCTGATGAACAATGGCTTCATTTGCATTCTGCATTGGTGTCATTGAGGATATGCTTTTAGCAGGACTGAGTAGCTCCCTCTCCTCTTTGTGCCTGTGCATCTGCGCTAAGCTATGTTGATCTGTATATTCGACTAAAAAATCATCTAGATATCTTGGGCGTTGTACTGAGCGTTTGAGGCGCACAGGTGAAACAGGGAGGCTGATTCCTTCTTTACTGGTTGCCATATCGTTGACTCTTATCCGGCTCGAAGGACCATAAATTGTAATGGGACTCTACTGGTTTAAATAAAAATTAGTCACCAATATGGGGTGTCTAGTCAGGACACGGAAGTCAGGGATATTCATTGAATGGTTTAACATATACTTTGAAATACAAATGCACAGACACTGTTTCTTATGAACTTTACAGTGTAGGTGTGGTTCTAAAGGAAAGGAAATAAACATCGATATTAACTAACATAAACACAATTGAGGCTAATAAGTCTCCCTAGCTACTTAATAAACAATGCTAAACATGTCCTGAAACATGAACTACAATAAGAATGCCATACAATTTACACATACAATAGAGTATCACTGTCACTGACTGTAAACTTTAACATGAATTGCCAATATTAACTTATCTATATGATATACTTGTAACGTACTTGTGGTCACTGACGCACATAAACACAACCTGAAGCTTAACTTATAAACTGAAACTAAACTGACTGCCGTTCTCTGCAAGCCAGGGCATGTCGCAACATGTCAGAAAGGGGGCGTGGTCTGAGCGAACACTCGCTGTACATGCTCTGTCCAGGCTCACATCACTTGAGCCTTTTGCACATTATGTATTAGTCCTGTTTTGGTTGAAAGACTAAAAAAAATAAAGGTTTTATTGGCATTGATGGTTCCATGAAGAACCTTTAACATCCATGGAATCTTTCCATTCCACAAAATGTTCTATATAGTGGTCAAAGGTTCTTTAGATTATTAAACACAAAGAAAGAAATGGTTCTTTTAAGAGCTGATCACTGGAAGCTTCTTTGGGGAAGCAGAAATGGTTCTTCTCTGCCCTTTTGGAAGCTTTATCTTTAAGAGTGTAATGGGAAATGTGTTTGTCATGAACTGCTGGTAACACTGTTCCTCACTCCTCCCTGCACGCAGCCGTATCGGTGTGACCAGTGTCCGCTGTCCTTTAATGTGGAGTACAACCTCGACCTCCACAAGTCCACTCATGCCACCAGCGAGGCCAAATGCCCCGTGTGCCACAAGAAGTTCTCCAGAGTGGCCAGTCTGAAGGCTCATGTCATGGTCCACGAGAAAGAAGAGGTCGGTACCTTCATCTTCCCTCGTGTTCTGGAACACATCCTTCCCTCGCCGGTCAAAATGACCCCAAGCCCTAAAATTATACTTATTTTTTTATATTTTTGAATGCAAATGTTTGCTCCAAAATGTTTTTGGAGATTTTTTCCCTCCGATCAACACTCAATTTATTTTTTAAATTTAAAAAAAAAATTCCGTGTCAAAATGACCCGAGGGAAGGATGAGGGTTAATTAATTCCATGGGATGGTTTTTGTGGAATTGAAACTTTGGTTGCTTGATCTCTTCATCCTCATCATCCTCATCAGTAGCGTGTGCTTTGTGTCGTCAGAACTTCCTGTGCTCGGAGTGTGGAGACGAGTTCATCCTGCAGAGTCAGCTCTCTGTGCACCTGGAGGAGCACCGGCAGGAGCTCAGCGGCAGCAGCACACACTCCTGCCGGACCTGCCGCCGGGAGTTCCCCACACACAGCCAGCTGCGGGAGCACCTGAGGAGCCACGCCAAGGCCAGGTCCGTCACACACGGTGCTCGCAGCACTCCTGCGTGCAGACACAGCTCATGTAGTGTCACAGGACAGATTTGTTCAAATGAGTCTGGGGAACATTTGGGAGGATGGGAAGTCATGGAACAACATGCGTTTTCATTTTTGCACGAACTAAACTTTTAGGGAAAAGCGAGTCATTTGTGCACGGAAACAAAAGTTGGTATTATGAAAACAAGCTGCGAAATGTCTGGTTTTGAACCTCCTCAACTTCATGAATGGATCAGCACTGATTGAAATTCATGTTAACAAGATGGGGTGCTACCACAGAAACCGAAGATTCTCGGGACAGCAGCATGTGTCCAAATTTCAATCTTAACCGTTCTATTTCATCAGAAACGATCTTGAAACAGGGCTTTAAGTGTAAAATACCGAACTTGTCCTTTAACCAGAGTATGACAACGATAATAGGACTATGATACGGATTATGTGCTTTTTTTAATGTTAAAAGCATCAGTGTCTCTGCTCTACATGTTGAGTGTGTATACCAGTGTCTGTGCTCTACATGTTGAGTGTGTATACCAGTGTCTCTGCTCTACATGTTGAGTGTGTATACCAGTGTCTGTGCTCTACATGTTGAGTGTGTATACCAGTGTCTGTGCTCTACATGTTGAGTGTGTATACCAGTGTCTCTGCTCTACATGTTGAGTGTGTATACCAGTGTCTCTGCTCTACATGTTGAGTGTGTATACCAGTGTCTGTGCTCTACATGTTGAGTGTGTATACCAGTGTCTGTGCTCTACATGTTGAGTGTGTATACCAGTGTCTGTGCTCTACATGTTGAGTGTGTATACCAGTGTCTCTGCTCTACATGTTGAGTGTGTATACCAGTGTCTGTGCTCTACATGTTGAGTGTGTATACCAGTGTCTGTGCTCTACATGTTGAGTGTGTATACCAGTGTCTGTGCTCTACATGTTGAGTGTGTATACCAGTGTCTGTGCTCTACATGTTGAGTGTGTATACCAGTGTCTCTGCTCTACATGTTGAGTGTGTATACCAGTGTCTGTGCTCTACATGTTGAGTGTGTATACCAGTGTCTCTGCTCTACATGTTGAGTGTGTATACCAGTGTCTCTGCTCTACATGTTGAGTGTGTATACCAGTGTCTGTGCTCTACATGTTGAGTGTGTATACCAGTGTCTGTGCTCTACATGTTGAGTGTGTATACCAGTGTCTGTGCTCTACATGTTGAGTGTGTATACCAGTGTCTCTGCTCTACATGTTGAGTGTGTATACCAGTGTCTCTGCTCTACATGTTGAGTGTGTATACCAGTGTCTCTGCTCTACATGTTGAGTGTGTATACCAGTGTCTGTGCTCTACATGTTGAGTGTGTATACAGTGTCTCTGCTCTACATGTTGAGTGTGTATACCAGTGTCTCTGCTCTACATGTTGAGTGTGTATACCAGTGTCTGTGCTCTACATGTTGAGTGTGTATACCAGTGTCTCTGCTCTACATGTTGAGTGTGTATACCAGTGTCTGTGCTCTACATGTTGAGTGTGTATACCAGTGTCTGTGCTCTACATGTTGAGTGTGTATACCAGTGTCTGTGCTCTACATGTTGAGTGTGTATACCAGTGTCTCTGCTCTACATGTTGAGTGTGTATACCAGTGTCTGTGCTCTACATGTTGAGTGTGTATACCAGTGTCTCTGCTCTACATGTTGAGTGTGTATACCAGTGTCTGTGCTCTACATGTTGAGTGTGTATACCAGTGTCTGTGCTCTACATGTTGAGTGTGTATACCAGTGTCTGTGCTCTACATGTTGAGTGTGTATACCAGTGTCTGTGCTCTACATGTTGAGTGTGTATACCAGTGTCTCTGCTCTACATGTTGAGTGTGTATACCAGTGTCTCTGCTCTACATGTTGAGTGTGTATACCAGTGTCTCTGCTCTACATGTTGAGTGTGTATACCAGTGTCTCTGCTCTACATGTTGAGTGTGTATACCAGTGTCTCTGCTCTACATGTTGAGTGTGTATACCAGTGTCTGTGCTCTACATGTTGAGTGTGTATACCAGTGTCTGTGCTCTACATGTTGAGTGTGGTATACCAGTGTCTGTGCTCTACATGTTGAGTGTGTATACCAGTGTCTGTGCTCTACATGTTGAGTGTGTATACCAGTGTCTGTGCTCTACATGTTGAGTGTGTATACCAGTGTCTGTGCTCTACATGTTGAGTGTGTATACCAGTGTCTCTGCTCTACATGTTGAGTGTGTATACCAGTGTCTGTGCTCTACATGTTGAGTGTGTATACCAGTGTCTGTGCTCTACATGTTGAGTGTGTATACCAGTGTCTCTGCTCTACATGTTGAGTGTGTATACCAGTGTCTGTGCTCTACATGTTGAGTGTGTATACCAGTGTCTGTGCTCTACATGTTGAGTGTGTATACCAGTGTCTCTGCTCTACATGTTGAGTGTGTATACCAGTGTCTGTGCTCTACATGTTGAGTGTGTATACCAGTGTCTCTGCTCTACATGTTGAGTGTGTATACCAGTGTCTCTGCTCTACATGTTGAGTGTGTATACCAGTGTCTCTGCTCTACATGTTGAGTGTGTATACCAGTGTCTGTGCTCTACATGTTGAGTGTGTATACCAGTGTCTCTGCTCTACATGTTGAGTGTGTATACCAGTGTCTGTGCTCTACATGTTGAGTGTGTATACCAGTGTCTCTGCTCTACATGTTGAGTGTGTATACCAGTGTCTGTGCTCTACATGTTGAGTGTGTATACCAGTGTCTCTGCTCTACATGTTGAGTGTGTATACCAGTGTCTCTGCTCTAGATGTTGAGTGTGTATACCAGTGTCTGTGCTCTACATGTTGAGTGTGTATACCAGTGTCTCTGCTCTACATGTTGAGTGTGTATACCAGTGTCTCTGCTCTACATGTTGAGTGTGTATACCAGTGTCTGTGCTCTACATGTTGAGTGTGTATACCAGTGTCTGTGCTCTACATGTTGAGTGTGTATACCAGTGTCTCTGCTCTACATGTTGAGTGTGTATACCAGTGTCTGTGCTCTACATGTTGAGTGTGTATACCAGTGTCTGTGCTCTACATGTTGAGTGTGTATACCAGTGTCTCTGCTCTACATGTTGAGTGTGTATACCAGTGTCTCTGCTCTACATGTTGAGTGTGTATACCAGTGTCTGTGCTCTACATGTTGAGTGTGTATACCAGTGTCTCTGCTCTACATGTTGAGTGTGTATACCAGTGTCTCTGCTCTACATGTTGAGTGTGTATACCAGTGTCTGTGCTCTACATGTTGAGTGTGTATACCAGTGTCTGTGCTCTACATGTTGAGTGTGTATACCAGTGTCTCTGCTCTACATGTTGAGTGTGTATACCAGTGTCTCTGCTCTACATGTTGAGTGTGTATACCAGTGTCTCTGCTCTACATGTTGAGTGTGTATACCAGTGTCTCTGCTCTACATGTTGAGTGTGTATACCAGTGTCTGTGCTCTACATGTTGAGTGTGTATACCAGTGTCTGTGCTCTACATGTTGAGTGTGTATACCAGTGTCTGTGCTCTACATGTTGAGTGTGTATACCAGTGTCTCTGCTCTACATGTTGAGTGTGTATACCAGTGTCTCTGCTCTACATGTTGAGTGTGTATACCAGTGTCTGTGCTCTACATGTTGAGTGTGTATACCAGTGTCTGTGCTCTACATGTTGAGTGTGTATACCAGTGTCTCTGCTCTACATGTTGAGTGTGTATACCAGTGTCTCTGCTCTACATGTTGAGTGTGTATACCAGTGTCTCTGCTCTACATGTTGAGTGTGTATACCAGTGTCTCTGCTCTACATGTTGAGTGTGTATACCAGTGTCTGTGCTCTACATGTTGAGTGTGTATACCAGTGTCTCTGCTCTACATGTTGAGTGTGTATACCAGTGTCTCTGCTCTACATGTTGAGTGTGTATACCAGTGTCTCTGCTCTACATGTTGAGTGTGTATACCAGTGTCTGTGCTCTACATGTTGAGTGTGTATACCAGTGTCTGTGCTCTACATGTTGAGTGTGTATACCAGTGTCTCTGCTCTACATGTTGAGTGTGTATACCAGTGTCTGTGCTCTACATGTTGAGTGTGTATACCAGTGTCTGTGCTCTACATGTTGAGTGTGTATACCAGTGTCTCGTGCTCTACATGTTGAGTGTGTATACCAGTGTCTGTGCTCTACATGTTGAGTGTGTATACCAGTGTCTCTGCTCTACATGTTGAGTGTGTATACCAGTGTCTGTGCTCTACATGTTGAGTGTGTATACCAGTGTCTGTGCTCTACATGTTGAGTGTGTATACCAGTGTCTGTGCTCTACATGTTGAGTGTGTATACCAGTGTCTCTGCTCTACATGTTGAGTGTGTATACCAGTGTCTCTGCTCTACATGTTGAGTGTGTATACCAGTGTCTGTGCTCTACATGTTGAGTGTGTATACCAGTGTCTCTGCTCTACATGTTGAGTGTGTATACCAGTGTCTGTGCTCTACATGTTGAGTGTGTATACAGTGTCTGTGCTCTACATGTTGAGTGTGTATACCAGTGTCTGTGCTCTACATGTTGAGTGTGTATACCAGTGTCTCTGCTCTACATGTTGAGTGTGTATACCAGTGTCTGTGCTCTACATGTTGAGTGTGTATACCAGTGTCTGTGCTCTACATGTTGAGTGTGTATACCAGTGTCTGTGCTCTACATGTTGAGTGTGTATACCAGTGTCTCTGCTCTACATGTTGAGTGTGTATACCAGTGTCTCTGCTCTACATGTTGAGTGTGTATACCAGTGTCTCTGCTCTACATGTTGAGTGTGTATACCAGTGTCTCTGCTCTACATGTTGAGTGTGTATACCAGTGTCTCTGCTCTACATGTTGAGTGTGTATACCAGTGTCTGTGCTCTACATGTTGAGTGTGTATACCAGTGTCTGTGCTCTACATGTTGAGTGTGTATACCAGTGTCTCTTGCTCTACATGTTGAGTGTGTATACCAGTGT